TGTAACACCCGTTAGATGAAATTTCTCTGACAGGTTATGACGTGTTTGTGGATTATGTTTTACAAAAGTGCTTGGCATCGATTGTACATCTATTGAACTCAATACAGCATCTTCTCTGACATCTCTACATACATACCCGTGTGTAGTAAATCAGAAACTGACTTGCCGCAAAATTGATCATTTTGCTATGAAAATCTGACTTTTACATGGCAGTGGAATGTCTTCCTATTAGTAGGTGGATATGGGATGATTGTTAATATCTATAAACGATACAGATATATTGTAAATAATGTGATTATGTATCTCAACAACGACAACAAGATGGTGTGAGTAGATGAACGTTTTCTAAAACCAAATATTATTAGTTTGGTAAATATAATCACACTGAATGATGTTTATTTTCACATAAATTTATAATTTAAAAACTTCTATATACTCTTACCATAACTTGTATTTTGTTCCCAACGAAATCGAATTTCATTATTTACTATTTGAATGTGGTTCATTGTATATGCTTATACTACAGCAAATACGTACATTTTATAATATTCTCATAAAAAATGTATACAAATACTATCAGATAATTTAGATAAAATATCAAGGTTTTGATCTCATCTATAAAACAGAGCTAGATAAAGATAGATGTTTAAGGAGATAAACAAATGAGGTTGAGAAGACTGGCAACTGCATTTACTTGAGTAGACTAGTGAAAGATCATATCTGTTAGCTATATTCTAAGTGGAACATGTTTGATTTGAAACTATTGGTTATTGAACTTGATGATAAGAGAAAAAATAATTATGAATAGAAGCTTAAGAACGTTGCTTGAAAACTGCACTACCGTCAACTTTCCAGTATATACAAAAGTCGATGTTTGGGATGTTTGGATATTGATACACATTATTCATTGAAAAATAATCTTAAATCATCATTGTTAATCAACCATTTGATTTCCTAAAGCAAGCAGTAAAGTTTAAATTTTTTTTTCTATTTAAAAGAATATGAATGTGATTGTAGTCATATATGAAGTGAGGAGTCATGATGTAGATGAAAACTCTATGTCAACCATGTTGATGAGACTAGTTGAGGACACATGGATACTACTTAGTGAAAGTTTTGATTGAAATTAATTATCTATTGAAGTAAGTTTGGCTCTTGAAAGCCATGTGATAATCCTTTTGATTATGATATCAAATCATCTAATAAATTTGAAGCTTGGCAACCAAGAATCGAATAGTTTGATAGTATGTCAAAACGCATTTGATGGTCTTGAGGTATCTTTGTTGATATGTTTGAGTATTAAGTTTATACAGAAGTTTATGAAGGAGTCATGTTTTAGATGAAGGGGTATATATTCTTTCCTTTGGAAGCTGAAAGTTTTTGGTTTGCGCCACATCCATCTAAAGAAACATAGTTGATAAAACGTGATTTTCAGATTTGGTTAACTTTTGAAGTAAATCAAGTATATAGCTTAATTCAAAAGAATTATTATCAGATGCACCATGTTGTGGTCAGACTTATATTTATGATTGTGTTGGACATCATTTGATTCTCATATATCATAGTTACATCTCCCATTGATTAGTAAACTTGAAAACTGTTATATGTCAAAAGCTTGTTATTCCAGCATGATGGGTGAAGCTTTCGTTCATAAAATCATACTTTGAAATTTTTCTATTTCTTAACGAGATTTAAATCAAGTGTAAGGAAATCAAACTCAAATTTGACCAACGATTGTGGACCATATTGATTGAAGACTAGAGGTGTCTAAAAACCATGGCATTTATAACTATTCAATTACAAATCACTTGATTAGTTCAAACATCCTTATCGTCATTCATTCTTAGCAAAATAAAATGAAGGAGTGAAAGAGATAAAGCCGAGAGAGAAACATAAGCTAAAGAGGATATCAAAACCGGTTTATCAAATTGCTAATAGTTTCAGAATGAGAAATTTGACTTATGTCATCATTTAAGTATCCATATCAAATGTTGTATACGAAATTTGATCATCTGATCAAATGAAAACCCATGAACTGAAAACCCATGAAAACCCAAAACTTTTTCAACAGCATGATAGCACTCTTGTTTGTAGAGATCGCAACTGCAAAACAACTGAAACAAGTAGAGAGCAAGTATCTTACAACAATGTTAATATCATCAACATGAGAGATTATATAAAGAAACTGGACTCTTGTTAGCATGCCTACCACATCAGTCAAGATCCGGCACCCTTTGGAGAATTACTAGAATTTGATTGTCAAATGTGAAGCTCCTAACATACATTTTTTCGATTATGGATACTTAGAGTATTTATACTAAAAGTCCACCAGCCGGTGAATTTTTCAGGAAAATCTATGTATATGCACTGACCATGTATCACACCACCTGACATTGTTCAGTGAAAGGTTTTGAATTTTCACATCTACAAAAGCTATCAGAAAACAATTTACATTGTAAAGATTACTTTCAACCCTACCGTAGTGTGCAGATTTTATATGCAGAGTTGGAAAATTGTTTTCTATCCTTGAGCTCAATCAGTGTGATCAAATTTAATTACAGAAGTTGGAAGTGGAATGGTAGCAGTTGTAACATATAGTAGAAGAGATGTCCAAAAAAACAAATGTCTTCAACTGGATTCGCAAAGTCAAATAACGAAGAAGTGAAGTACTGGATGGCATCCAGATCTTTGTAGTCAACCTCTTAGCTCAGATTGTACAAAATCCAAGAAAAGAGGTTTCTAGGTCAAGATTACATAGATGTACAGTAACCCCCCCTAAATACTACGCACCCGTTTAAGTACGCGACCCGGATAAGTAAGCAATCTTTTTCCAAAAAAACTCGGATCAATTTTAGAATTTAGACAAAGTCAAAAGAATTGTAGCAACAAAATATCAAAGAAAGACATAGTGAAAAGAAAAGAAAAAAAAAGTGAAACAATCACTCCAATCATTTGTACTTAGATCAAGTTTGCCTCAACTTTCACCCTTACCTCATCAAGACCTAACGCTTTATTCGAGGTTTCGCTTATCAGTTCCGGTTCTAAATCTTAGTTCAGATTCCAGATAGTTTAATTCCACTAAGTGATTGCTTAAGGACCTTAGTCTATAATCTTGGTTGTTTACTCTTGACTTTGTACCCTAGCATCAAAAGATTGTATGTAAAAATTCACTGGTATGCAATGAGAGTTTCCTTGGAGTGGTCAAGCATCAAGTCATATACATATATGAATGATCCAAATGAAGTAAGGATTAGGATTGTGCATGGTAAGAGTCAAAACGATTAAGTAGCGTTGAATATAACGTCTTTGGGTTTGTTAAAAGAGAGATTTTTACAAGTCAAAGGAGAAAGATTACGTGTACAAAAGCCCAGTTCCATGGGTGGTTTTTGAGAATTAGTGGATGGTTTACCGCAGGCACTAGAAACTTAGCATTAATAAATGTTGATCATTTTACGAGCACGGTGAGTTCCTTCCGTGGATACTTCCAAAGACACAACTATAATGCGCGATTTTCCTATGGAACCTTTAAGTAATGTCTGTATAAATTTTTTACTACAAACAATGTCCATAGCTAATTTAATCTAAGGGTGCCATTGGAACTACTATTATTTTACACAATCTGATAACTTTTAGTTCACGCACTTGACATCTTTTTGAAATTCGAAGCAAAACAAAACATTGTTTTGTTCGGGGCTTGGACATATCGTACATAGTTCATGGAGTTTATATTACACTCAAAGTTTCAAGCTGATATAATTGTGAACAAAACAAACATTCCTAGCCCGGGCGTTGCTATGAATATACTTGTTTTTTTTAAGTCTGCACCTCCATGTTAGCTACGCAAAATCTTCCTAGGATCAATTTGAGTACTTAACCGGGAGATTACTGTAATTGATAGTGGTTGCAACCTCGTGATAATTAAACTTATAGATTAAGATATTGTTCGCTTACCATCATGTATGCAGACTGAGTGCGAAAACCCCTTGAAGGATTAGAACATGAATCAAGTCCTATCGATTCGTTCGAAGCTCGGAAGTTAATTTCGAACTAATGAGATCTTCTCCGCGGTAACGCAAGGATGGATTCTGTTTACTTACTAGTTACAAAACGTGTTGGAGCAAGGGGCAAGAATTTGTGTTCATTGAACATGTATCATATTATCGACTGAAAATCATCGTAAGACTAAAACTTCGATCCATCAGCTGTTACGAATCGACACTGTAGTAACTGTAAGGTACATAACGACACGAGTTTCACGTGGTTTTTCTTCGACTGTGCGTATGTTCCAAATTCGAATCTTCTGACCACTGTTGCGCATCTGCAATGTATGGTGACCATTAAGGTCGATGGAGATCAGAGCTACGTTGTGTGTGGTTGTAATAGCTGTCGATAACAAGACCTTCCCCAACTTGTTTGCTATTTATAAACATTATAGACGACATAAACCTTTACCTTATTCCAGGACTAGATAGACTGGCACCATTAATGATTTTATCTGGAGAATCGGAAATCTCGAGCATCTTTAACGTATTGGTTTAAATTGGGGAAAAGTACCTGTACGGGTTGACTCTGGTCCAATGATCGCACTGGAGTCCATGTTTTGGCTTGGACAGTGAGTTCGAGAAGAAGTCTAGTGGCTGCGAACTTCATCTTTTATGCTTAAGACTAATTCACTTTTCTAGGTACTGTGGGGTTGGCAGGGGATGGAATTCATGATGCGGTGTGGAGTATATGCCAGCGCCTTCTCGTACCGAACGCTAACCACTCCAGATAGCGAAACCAAGGTGAATGAAGTAGACGAGAATAAAAAATAGATACATCTGAAGTATCATGTGACTACTCATGGGGCACTCACTGGCTGCCGGTTGGCGGCTCGTTTGGTTCTAGCCGTCCGTTTTCTTGTTATAATGAAACAGCAAGAGTGTGGAGAACATGAGCCAGCGTTGTGGTCTGGTGTGCGAAGTCTATTGGGGTACGCTACGAGATCAGGTTATAATAAGCTCAACATAACCTAAACGGGCTGCTTCTGCTGGATTCACTTTCTCCCGGCAACGGAGAGGGTATCAGGAATCCTGTGCAAAGCGAGTTTCTCTGATGTCACTGCGGTATTCGAGGAGACGGGCCTATTTCAATGACTACGAAATGGAATGTTGTTGTCATCATTATTGTAGTCGTGATTGCAGGACATCGGCTAAGACCATCCAGCGAACTATAGGATTTCTCAACCTCCACCGGTGGAAAAGCGACAAGAACAGTTAAGTTTTGATATATCGTTGACCTAGAGAAGTTTCTGATTCAACTGAGTGTTCCCATCACCTCCTTTAACTCTTTATGGTGATATTTGTTGAACGACTTATTCTCTCATGTATACTAGCAATTTCTAACACCTCAGCCGCGCGGCAGAAGGAAATCTCAGTTAACTATTTTGTGGCACTTTCGGCCCTTTCCAACTATCCTAGAAGGTGATGGTGGTATCAGACAAAGCTTACGCTTGAATACACAATCTAGTGACTAGTGTAATTACTGGTTTTGGAAAAATTCTGCATAGAGGTTCCTTCCATGGGAGCATTCTTGCCTTGTTTTAGATTTGGATGAAAAAGCATATTAAAATAGCATAGCCAGGTATTATCTACGTTTTGTCATGGAGTGTGCACGGAGTTTTCTTATGGCCGCAGCCGTTCGTTGTAGAGCCCTGTGAGAGCAGCATGAGGTAGTGATATCATTAGCTTGAAGATTATTGGAGTCTTTGAGTCTTTTGGCGGTCCGAACCCACCTTCGAAGTCAGTTACAATGACATAGTGAAGGGTTCCATGGTGGGAACCAAGTAACTAAGCAAAGTAAATAAAGCGAGGACATAGTACTAATTCCTTTTCAGTGAGCAGTCGTCAACAAGGTTAGCCCAATTCAATCTAGGTAGCATCTGTACTACACAAGCCCTTCTTGATATTTTAGAGACATTTAGCTGATATTGGGCATTCACTCAGCTAGACAATGTCCTTGTTACTTTACATGAGAGTACGCGAAAAACTTGTGACACAAAACAAGCGTCTGGACTTAATCCATGCAATGGCTATTGGCAAAGGGAAACAATGAATCAGAAGACAGCCACAGAAATGTTATACGATGCCTCTGCATCAACAGCCTCGTTCGCTCTATACATTAAGTTCTGTCTACAGAAACGACATCGTGCAAACAAACTTCACCAGATATATGCCTAAAACCAGAGCAGTATGCCGCAGGAGAATTATGCCAGAAAAATCTGTTTATATGTAATGTTGTTAAAGTCGAAGACACCCAACGTTTGCCCTTGAAGTTGGACTAGTAATCAGTGCCTAAAATTAAACTTCACTGGGCTGATATTTGGCTGGAACAGGCATGTATACTGCTTGTTCCGCTGAATGAACGAAGGTCCTGGCATATACCTGTAACGTCCTGTGGGGATGTTCAACACTATATCCATAATACTGAATCGTTTCCTACTCAATGTCACGAAGTCTTCAATTGAAGGATGTAAGTGTGGAAAATTCTCAGGAGCGAATGAAACAGAACAGAGCTTCAGCATGATCAAGTCTCTTGCACTTGAGTTTGACATGATCTACGTCAAACTTAAGACAAAGATCATGTCAGAAAGCATACTATATCGTGCCAGGCCTAGCCTAAGCATAGCTACTGGCGAAATAAAGCCAAGCGAGCGTATAAGAGTATTTAGTTCCATCTTTAATCCCTTTGGTTTCCGGTGAACAAGAAAGCAGTAAGTCCAGAGCCCATAGACTCACATAAGGTCACCAGAACCATTGACAAGTTGATTTCATGTAATAACTTAACAAGTGTGTACTGTAACTCGGCTTAGAGCCGTAAATCGTATGGACTAACTCCAGCCAATTTGGACCTAGAAGTTTTTCACACGTTTCTTGACAACTGGGAAGGTCTGAGCTGTAGGTGGAGGGACTTAAGACAACAGGTTTCACTAACTGAGAGGAAAGTCGAGATCTGAGGCAGAACTCGAGTTGAACAGCGCCAGCAACCAAGCATACTCCTGGATCAGAATATGATTGGAGCAAAATGTACTGCTAGAAATACTACAGGTCCTAATCCAATCCGAACGTTAGCGCTTTTGAATTAACAAACAATCGCAAATCATATTACTGCAGAATGGCATTTAGATAATGGAAACAAATTGTACAATGTATTTACATGTAAATTGAAGTACCTCAAACTGTTCTCAGCTTTTGATTCGTAGAACGCAAAGTACTGAGCTCAAAAGTGCAGGAATCGCCTTGTACTGTTCCCGCCTTCACTAGAGGTTGCTTTTGTATCATGGACATTACTGGCGATATGTGTCTCAAACCCTGCATGCAACCATCCTATGTTGAACTTGAGATTGTGAACCTCTATTTTTCTTTTAATTCACGACAGTACAAGACAATCTACTAAACAGTTAATTACTATCTGCTCTTCAGGAATTTGGTGATGAGGTGTCTCGGATTTTTCAGAGGAAGTCAACACTTACAGCAACATACAAACTCCAACAAGCTCGAATTGGATATGCGATAGAGAAGGAAAAGATAAGGATTCATCTTGCACTAATAACGGTTGGCATCAGTGCTGGACTTCTCTAAACTTGCAGGTGGTCCAGTACTAGGGTTCACCCTCTCAAACTAACCCATAGAAAACAATATAGCTCCTGGACCAGTAACTTCTTTTAAAGCTCACTGTAATTGCTGATGGAGGCTAGTGGATCCAACTCTTACGATGTACTAGGGCTCAATGCACTATACCATTTAATCCTGACAATGCAACTCACTATTGTATTCACCTCTTCGCCAATGTTAGAAGTGAATTCATTTGAATTTTGATTGCTTGCATAGCAACTTCTTCATGTCAATCTTTACACCAGCTTCAAAGATGAAACACTTGCAAATTGCCAAACGGTCTCAGACGTGCCATATATGATTCTCGGTCAACGTCTTCACAATGGGGATACTCAGGTAGTATACTGAATGAGAAAACTGAAGCTGACAGCTTAAGCTGCTATGCAACGCCATGAGAAGAATAAAACGGTCAACTGAAGCTAGTTATAGCTTAACTTCTGCTTTGAGAGTACTTCGGGTTTCGTCTGCCAATTCAAAGTTACTGATCTGGATACGAAAACAAGACAGCTCTCATCACTTAAATTAGCGTCTTTCTGGTATAAGTACATCGAGAATGGCCTGTAAGTACAAATTCAAATTGACTACAGTCCGAGTTAGTTGCACTGAAGGTATGGTATCTCTATGTAGGGAAGAATAACCTTACGGGCGAAATGGAGATTCTGTTGTTTCTTGATGTGACCTATGCAAATGGAAAATCTTGGATATAGTTATATGATCTGGTGGATAGAAATCTTGAAAAGAATTCTTGATGCTCTCAATCCTTTCAATCTGCAACGTACAGGAACGTATGACCTTCTGGCAGGCGAAATTGAGTATCTAAAGAAGCTGGTGTACTGCCCAGTTTGAGTTTTCTGTCCTATAATGAAAGTGTTTTTTCTTATATAAACTCAATATACCAGCAGTTTTGAGATACAATGAAAGGTGTGTGCAGCGTGATCCGTAAATTGTCATCACCTTCTACGTAGACATTGGTAATTTCATCAAAGTCATTGCTGCCATTCAGCGGCGAAGAGTAGCAAATACGTCAAATCCCTTATTTCCGAAATCATAGCGACAGATAAATACTTCCTCCGCTTCGGTTGACGTCGAATGTCCAAGTTCACTTTCCGTTCATCTAGAAACTGAGAGAAGTTGAAGCAGTGAAATATCGAAAGTGACTGTTCACCAGTTCGAATATTTCCAGATCTCTTTGGAGAACTCTGATTCCGATTGGACACGACCTTGTTGACGCAGAGGTTCCTGTACATTTCAAGAATGCCCAATCATAGAAAGATACTACGTTGTAAGCCCGCTCGTTCTAAGGAAAGAAGAACACTCACCTTGAAAGTCGTGCTTTTGAATTGATGGACTTCATTACTTCCCACGGCCCGGGAATTTTTTTGAATCTCTTATTCGTCATCTCTCCTCCCTCCACAAAGTTTGACTGTAAGAACGCTCTAAGTTCTTTCGTGCTTCTGATGTTTGAGCTGCGTACGTGGTTTTTTTGGCAAGGTACCAGAGGTCAGTACTTCTCTGCATGCATTTCGCTTCGTCTTTTAATCGCACTTGCTCTCCTCCGCATCGTGAAAACGCGGTGGTCATCTGAAGGACAAACACCCGAACGTTAGTACGAAGCGCGAAGTACGAGTTTCAATTGGTATCTAAAACTTTTTGTTGAGCGTTCGTTAGACCTAAAGGTTTTACCAGCAGAACGGGAGATGTGCATATTTCTTTCGGTCCTGATGTGAACGTCCGATGCAAAGACGAAGTCTGGATGCCAGTTTTCGTGTTAGCCATGACTGATTCAAAACAAAGATGCATGATCAGCAACAGAAGGCCTAGGACAAATACGAATTGACTCATTAATTTCTTCTAGTCGAACCCTAGGCGCCTCATGTGGCATGTACAATGAAAGCTTGCGTCGATGCTCCGCGATAAGAAATTGACCTTAAATTTTTTTCTTGATGCATATCATGATCTGAATTTTGCAAATAACCACGACTGTACAACCGATCCAAAGAAGAGTCCTAACCTCTGCAAGTACTGAAATTGGTGTCCATACAGGATACATGCAAAAGTGGACAAATAAATAAAACGAGATAAGCTTTTCTCCTTCGGTTTGTTTTGTAAGTGAAAGAATTTCGTCCAATTTACTTACTACGTTGCATATTTCCAGAAATGGCTAAATAGTTCTGCTTTTAGGTTGCATGCAAGATCGCGAGACAAATAGCGAATTGATTGGTGTGCTTTTCTCAATGATGATGTTCTGTAGGAAAGATCTGAAGATTGTGGACCTACTCAATTTTGCTCAGAGATTTTGGCTACAGATGTTTGATATATGACAGGAGATTATAATCCTTGTGAGAACCAATAATTCTCTTCGGATTCATATCAATTCGAATATTAATCTCAGTCACAAAAGAATGATATTGTTGATCGTAACATTTTCAATATATATTTAAGATGGACATAGATTCAAGAATAAAAGGAGTAATGCTGTTGAATTTCTTTCTTTTGAACGTATGTCAGATCGTCAACAACATTACCACTTTCATTCTTGAAAAGATGATAAAAGTTTGATCTAACATCGAGAGCTCAACTCTCCCGGTTTAGGCGATGATAGTGGCACATCACTGAGACACGAGTACCAACTCGTGTCATATCCACTCGAGTGGAGTTGCATCTGCATTGGAGATCAATTTCATCATCACAGGTACGTTTAACACAATCACAAGATTCCGTCTCGGAGACTAATGTTCGGACATCTGTCAAGTGCACTTATTTTCTTTTCCCTTCTGAGTCCTTAAGGATTCAAAATTTCTTATCAGCCCACATGTATAACAGGCATGTCGCGTTTATTCAGGTTGGAGGGTGGGACATGCACTCACTGGTCACGCTGTTCTTACCTTCATAAGCGTTTCTCGTCAGCCGATTACAGGTATCGGGTTTTCATATGCGCTTCTTGACTGCCCGACCAAGACCCAAGATGTCGTGTTCATATTGCATCCGCACGGTCTCGCAATATAGTGACATAACTTAGTGACTCTGGCAAGACAGATATCCGGCTCTCAGATACTGTATGGCACACTGTGGCAGTGAGGGAGCAGGAGTAAGAAGCAGATGACGTCCCTCGGATCTGCGGTGTACAGAGAGACGTACTCTCAACTCGCGGGAACTACCGCCTGTGCAGGGAAAGCCCCAAAGGAACTCCGTGAAGTGCACCATGTGGCAGGTCGGCAAGCTCAACAACGCCGAAAATCTTGAGCGTAGGGTTAAAAAACGCCTAGGGCGGTACGCGAATTGAGAAGAATATCAAATTTAGAGGGAGTGCAGGATGATGTTCCCATTGGTCACCCGTAGGATCGGACTGCAGATAAAACAATGCAGCTGCCATTGTCTTGACGTACTTATGGGAGATCCTGTTCATCGGGTTAGGGAACTTAGGACAGGACTTCGATCGCCAATCACGTCGAGTGTTCCACTTTCGTTGAGCGCGCTCCAAATCAGCAGATTTTCTATTTAGCGAGAGCGAGAAACTAAGTAGGGTTCGGTGGAAGGACAAGTGGGACGAAAACTGTTGAGGTGTATGGCGCCCACTGCCTCCGCCCACTGTTGGCGCTCCAGCGCCCACTGTTCGCGCCCAATGAACGGCCTCCTGCTTTCCGGAACGCCGAGGGCTTCGTCTACTGCAATTGGTGAAATTTATGGGGTTGGGCAAACTTGTTGGAACCGGGTGCTCCGCTGTAAACTCATGCCACTGTATTAACTTGCGCTTTGACCCTGAGCCCGGGTGAGGTTAGAGTCGCCCCTTGGGCTCGATTCTGGTCAGCGCGGTTGTGCGCGAGTTAAAGCCTGTCCGCGCCGTTAAAGTGCTGTCACGTGTATCGGGTTCATGGAAGAAGAACCAGCATCTCCTTTTTGTTTGATGCAATCCATACAAGAGTACATTAATATGGTACCCATGGATCGCATACCAGTACCCCATCCATACAAGGGCATATATAGTACATATACAGTTACATACATCCGGGCGTAGCAGCAGTACGGCTGAGATGGATCGCCCCATCGCGGGTCCGAAGTCCGGACTCCTGGCCCAAGTCAAGTCAATGGACCGCAGACTGTACTGCGATGAGCATCATCGCGAGCTGCAAAATGCGGAGCGCAACGCCAGCACTGGCAGCTACTACCGTAGCTCCAAGTAAGCGAGAAAGATGCAGCTGAGGTGATTGCGCGAGCCAGACATGATATGCCAAGAACTAGTAACCTTATCAAACAAGTCCACACTGATGGGAACCATGATGTGCGCATAAATGTTGAAAGTCTGTCATAGCTTGCGTTTCTACAGGATGTCTCGACTTTTGTCGCCCACTATAATACCCACTTTAACTTTCTTGCCCTGGAGAGGTGGAGGTCACTTTTCTTGGTTACATAGCGGTGGTGTTCCAAACCCGAGTATCTTGAGGCTGCCAAACTCATCAAGAGCCCAGAGTCCAGAAAGCTCCGTTGGATGGGCCTCCACGGTGGACGGCGTCATCGATCCACATGTGAGCCATCCATTGCAGCATGTGTTAAAGACTTGCAATATCACAGTAGTGGCCAATGAGGATATGATGCGCTGGCCCGGAGCCCTCGTCCGGCCCTTGCGGGTACGGTTCGTCTCTCTTCTTTCTGCTGGGCAAAGTGCCATTCAGCTTGTCACCCGCACATCGATTCTCGATAGGTTGTTGCTGCAAGAGCTTAGCAACAAAAGCAGCAAGCCCGGACATTGACATCGACGCCTCGAGCTTCAGAACGATGAGAATACGCAAACGCCAGCCAGTAGTGCTTTTAGAAACACCCCCTCCTTCGTCTCATCTGGCACGTCCACTGTCTGCCTTCACCCACGAAGGTCCAGGGCAATTTGTAGGTCAGCACGGCTGCTTGTCCCGTGGACATCAGCACCCGCTGATCAGTAAAGAAGCCGCAAAGCCGCAGGATGCATCTCCCGTTTGGAATCCTGGGGACACCTCCTACCTCAAAAGATCCCAGGTACGCCTCAGAGCCTGCTGCTTACTTGCTGTAATCAATCATCTCACCGTCTTGCATGCACTGAGGTGCACGCGCATGCCGCGTGCTGTCACCGGTGCTTTTTAGTCGAATTACTTCACGGTTTTGGTTCTCGTCTCCGGACGAACTTCATGATCAAAGCATGTCATGAACCTGGGCGAGTGACCCTTTACATGTCGTGTGTATACTTCTTCGTACTCGAGCTTTTTCTAATAAAAGATGGATGATGTGTTCAGGTCGTTGACGAAGAAGCATACAGTGTGGACTATGCGCGGCCCGAGGCGGTACTGCCCAGCAAAGAAAAGACCGGGAGCCAGGCCGGAAAGAGCTCTTCAGACGACGTACACAAGCTAGAGGTTTGAAACACCTTTCTAGGTTTATAATGCATTGTAATTCTTAAGCACAACTTCAATTTTTGCTACTATTTTTGCCTTCGCAATGACGAAGGACGTTGTTCTATGTTAAATGTCCATAGCAACTCGATCGCAGCAGAATCAAGCGGTCATGCTCCTCACTGTTCCAATCATCAAAGATCAAGGAAAGATCGGAAACTAGGCATTGTCGAACATCATGTGTCAGGCACTGTTAATTGACGCAATTTCTACACCCACGTTGCCATCGTTGCAACCTGCATTGTTTGGCCTATCACACGTAAAAGTTATTTCGAGATCGGGCTTCTCAATCCCCGACGCTATTCAGCAAGAAGCCTGTGAATGTAGATCCCTCCGTTCAAGACTGGATTGACCAACTATAGAAAGCCAACAGGTTATGAGACATGGATTAGTTGGAAGCCCGCTCTATTTCGCAGTAACGAGTAACTTCAAGGGCCAAAGAAACCTGAAACTAAATATGTCAAATCAGTTGAACCCCAATTCAACTGATTTGAGTCTAGCACAGCAAACAAAGGTTATTAGTACGCGACTACAGTCGCTCTCGCAACTTGAATATCGACATATGGTTGTATATTTGCATTGAATCCACCAGCGAATGCAGCAATCTGAATACAGATATCTGATTTCAGCCCGAATTTATCGATATCATCGTATTATCATACTATGCTGAAATTCTTGTCGTCTCTCTCTCGGTAATTATTGAAAGGATCCCGCCAACGGGTTCTGCTCACTTTCTTCTCTTCACAGAAGGAAAAACTCTTTGCAGTCTAGTGATCCATCGTATCATGATTATGGGCAGGTCAAGAGAGATGGTACGCAATCGAGACCTTACGAATTTGTGGAGTTCGTGGAGGAAGCAGGAAGGTACTAGAGTCTTCTGACAGCACATGGGTTAGTTGGTGAGAATATTTAAATTGCCTTCTTGATTTGGTCGAATCAGGTATGACTCTTGAATGAGGTCGGTCCGATGACTGCAACTTGTGCGAGCCACTAGCTTTAGACCTCGAAGTTATAGTCTCTGAATGTGTTTGTAAAGATGATGATAATTAGGCAGAATGACGTGTCATTGTAGTCCTGTATTCAGCTCCTCAAGAAACGCCTTCCGTCTTGATAGAAGGTTTCTCATGGGAGTGAAGAGGCTCTTTGAGCGTGTCCGAACTCGATGAAATTTAGGTCTTCATTCAAATGTTTGTGTTCCAGGGTACGCGGCAGCCAAGAAACGTATAGATCTGCTATTGAGCGGACTGACATACAACGCGGGGATAGAGCTCCCAGTGTGGAAAGAGATCTCAATCATCCGAGTAACAAGCCGAAAGAGTCTCTCTTATATTCTTTGTACAGTGTCTTCTCACGACTGTCAGGGAAGACTGTGCTGACCGCCCGCGAGGCTCTGTCGCGAATAATCGAAGAGGGCCTCCCCGGATTGGATGAGGAAGTCGGGCTACCCAGTGTTCAGGTCGCTAAAGTTATGCGAAGCAATCCTTACTTCGTGCACCTCGAAGGCGGAAAATTTTTGCTGTGCAGTGGACCTTCTCATCAGAACAATGACCAATTAATCAGTGGCCTGGACCTAGCGGATGCTGTAATAGATCCGGCTATATCACAGCAGCCTGCAGCTACCGCGAATGGGGTCGGGAAGGGCGATAGAGATGAGGAGCAGCATGATTACACAGGATTGCGCAATAAGAGGGCGAGGAGTAAAAGTTCGAGCAGCAACGAAATGCGTGACAAGAACGACAGTAGCTTGATATCGGAGGAGATTCCTAAATTGAGTGCTTCTAAATCTCAGCTTTCTGTCTCGCCGAAGATTACTCCACCTGATCATGTCGCCGTTCAGATATGTAAACGGTACGACGGAAGAGGCTGGAAATGTCACCAAAAGGCTCTAGAGGGATACTCAATGTGTCGTCATCACCATGAACTCATAGTCAATCGATTAGCTCGACTGAGAAATAGTGGTAGATTGGGCTCGAAGAAGTTATCGAAGAGGAGGAAACCCAGCGGTAAGCAGCTCAGTGAAAGTTCCGCTGTCACGGACGGTGATTTGAAAAATGAACAAAGTGGGGCTCAATGGCGAAAGAATGTCAAGGCGCGTTCCCTGAATTCCATCAACACTTGAGAGGTGCGTTTGTTGTGGAGGCCTAAACTGGTACGCAAAAGCATCGCTTTTTTCATTTCCGTGCCACGGAGTTACGACCTCATGCGCACCTATGGGGTAGTAATGGGCAAGTCTTATGAGCTCGAGGCGCGTTCTCCGACCTGTGAAGAGCCCAGTAGACCTAGAGGATCTGTATGTAACCCGGAGTTACATGCTGTAAATCCCGACAGCTTGGGTTCCTAAGGCAGTACGGAGGGAAAACCATGGACTTGTTTTGCGTTTTTCTTGAACCAATTTTGTCATCTGGAAACTCCTGTTCAAGTTTCACGACCTGAAAAGGTCGAGTTTGTTTCAAGATGCGCACACCACGAAAACAGATATTGTAATCACGGATTGTTGCTCAATCACTCGGAGGCTACATCGCCCCTAGACGTGTCCATGCACAAAGTTTCCCTGGGTCAAGCGTGGATGCAGATGCGGGACGTTGCAGCGTTGCAGGGCCTCACAAGCGCGCAAGGCCCCTCTTCGAACCTTTGGCCGCCAATCTAAGAGTAGCAAGGATACATAATTTTTTCCAGTTTTGGATTGTGGCTGCCATAGCTCCTGTGCTTACTCTCGCGATCTTTGCAGTTGTCATCAATGTGCAATTTTGCCACATACTTGCAACTAGACGTATTAGACGTTCATAACCAAACGCTAGCAATCGCGAGACTCTATGTATCGTCCTAGACGTGAGAGATATAGAAGAGAAGTCTCGTATTGTTGTGATGGAATGAGATATCACCTAGACTTAGAAGATTTGCGTGCACCTATCCATTCCAATCTCATTGCTTGTACTTCACGTATAGCTACTTTACTCTAGTAGTTGCAGGGTTTAACATGAGCCCGCTAAAATCAAGCATAGGTAGGGGCCCCGTATTTGAATTCGGAAGACAGGGAACTACAGCGACTAGTTACGTAAGTTAATCATTATGTAAGTATTAAAATTTTTTATTTGAATTTTACATATATAATTAAAAATTATAAATATATCTATATTATTTATTTTTCGTTTCATTAATTTTCTGTATTTTTATAAATATTATTTTAAATAATTTTTTATTTTAAAATACAGAACGTTAATGAAACTAATAATAAATACAATTTATTTATATTTATAAAATTTTATGTAAAAATTCTTTAATTGAAAAAAACATAATTTTACTTTAGCATTCTTTAATTATAACAAAAATCAATATAATATAAATTTTCAAGTTATAATTTTACTCAAACTGATTTCTCTATTCATTTTTAAAATTGAAAATGATTATACAAACCATTTGAATCATTTTTTTTACTAAATTGAATGTAGTAATTAATTTTATTTTTTAAAATAAAAAAAATAAATATTTCATAATTCATATCAATAAAAAAATCCTATAAAAAATTTTATAATTCTGGATGATATTTGACAGTCTGAAAAACATTTATCAATTCTTGATTTATTACTGTAATTATTAATCAATAAATGGTAAATATGCAACTATAAATGATATAACATATAAATGTTAACGTATCATGGTTTCACAAATTTTAACTGGATACACTGTAGAATGTGTACGGTAAATATCACGTTAGTATGGATTCATAGTACGCACCTCGTGATATTAATAGGGATTGACTTTTTGCATGAAAGCATAAGTTCATTTGGTTAAAATAAAATAATGTAAAATATAGGTCTTCTAAAGAACTCAATCTGAGGGAGCAATAACGGTCATAGCAATCTCTTTTAGTACCTAGTACTTCAACATTCTATGGTCATAGCTATCTCCTCTGGTACGTAAACACCCTAAACCCTACCTCTCAACTGACCTAGGATACACCCCAGTCTCTAAACGTAACACCGGTGAATTTCCGCTACAGGACCGAGGATATACCCGAGTCTCTAAATGTAACACCGGTAAATTTCCGCTACAGGACCTAGGATACAACCGAGTCTCTGAACGTTACACTGGTGGATTTCCGCTACAGGACTTGCTTTACAGTGACATTACTAATATATATTAATAACTCTATCTTAGATCAGGTTGTGTTAACAGTTGTTATAATTTGTCAACACTAGAAGGGAATTGATGTGTAGAAAATAAAATTATCTTCATTTACGTCCGAAGGTCGATCTTGCTCTCACACTACCGGTGCGTATATAACTGGTTGTCATCTCGTTCCCGATAATCTGACTACTTAATGTTTTACTCTTTCTTCAAACGCAAGAAGACAAGAACCAAATGCTCCTACATCCATCATTTCAGTATCTAAAGCAAGTAAATGGCAAAAGATGGGCTACTAGACGAATTATTCATCTCTTTACTGGAATATTGTTGAAGGTTCAAACCACCAAACTCGCAGATATTGCAAACAACAGTTTACACTCCGAGACATAGTAAAATTTTGATCTTAGAAAATCAAAGGTGAAGTTCATATTGTATGATCTCCTATGAGTTCAAATTTCTTGTAGAAAGTCAAAACTCAAGTCTTCAACTAAATTGTATGCCATAACCCACACAATACACGGTAGTATCAAGCACAAGCATGTAATTCAGGCTTGTTTCAGAATAAAACTAAATTTGAAGTATTTTTACAACAAAAGGAAACATATTAGAATCACATAATATCAACACATCATGCGAGTCTGTTTGTATTCATATTTTATGTCTTTAAGGAGTATTAATTTGATATAATTCGCAATTTGAACGATTTTTTATTTTGAAAAAAAATCAATATTAAAACCTTAGTGATACATACTGCGTCAATACATCTTTTTCACCAATTCCATTTTTTTCATTATATGTTTACATTAAATATATATACAATTTATTAAATATTTTTTATAAATCAAATTAGATATAAAAGTAAATGTAAAAGAAATGAATGAATCACATTTAATAAATTATTTTTTACATATTTTTATATTTACATGATATGTATAAGTTACGATCATAATAATCAAGTAGATAAATAATGTTTTTAAATTTTATCTCTAAAAATATTCACACACTTGAACAACAAACAGGTACATATTTAAATGATATAGACATAAGAATAGCATATATATATATATATATATATATATATATATTTTATATATAGGGGCTAGTTATCACTCAATATGGGCTAATTATACCTCAACCTATTCTAATGTGCACTACTTCTCCCTCTTACTCTGTGACGCGAAGACTATATCACAGAGCTTGTTCAGGAGTATGAGGGATAACTAGCCGCTCCATATATATATAAAATTAATGTGTATGAAGTGCTAGATAAAATATCAAGTTGGTGTGCTCTATATGCAGTAAGCTGGTTAGTTTTTGCAATATAATGATGAAGAATATTTATGAAGTCAATAATTAAAATTAGAAAAATACTTTAAATTGTGAAAATACATGCTATCTATAAAGAAATAATAATATTTGAAAGAAAAAAAAAGATAATTCATATAATATATGGAAGATCATATTTTCGTAAACAATGCATTTTTCAAATTCAAAATTTTTTATGATTTTTATTATGATTATGATTTTTTCATTACAAAACATTTTCATATAAAAATAAAAACGATCTAAAATTTCACCAATTTTTATTTGTTTAGATTATTTTCATGTATCGATATTAAATATCAAAATATAATGTTATCTAAGAGTTGTATTTAACAATAGGTTATCTTAGTGATTCAAATTTGTTCTTTTCAGATATTACCAAGTGGATAACAGAAAAAAATGATTTTTTTCACCAAACTAGTTTCATGAAACACACATATATTCGAATCTTAAATTGAATCACAGTTGACTTATGTTAACTTATATAATTCTAGCCAACTAGTTTGACTGATCATGATTACATTTAATATAATTAACCTTAAATGAACTACTAACAATCATTACCTTGATTTAAGTTTTGAGATTAATGATTTACAATTCATAAATAGATTTTACTCAATATTTTCATCTCTATTTAAGCTTCGTTTTTTAAAATAGAGGTACAATGCATCTCTTGATATGTAACAAGCCACTAATATTCCAATAAACAAAAATTAGGATTAATTTGACTTAGCACAATTTGAATTTATTCATAAAGACCTTCTTGATTGATTTCATGTCCACTTAATCTCTATAACCAATATAATTACTAGGTAGAAAGTTTCAAAAACATAAATTTGTCATAGATATGTTCATAAACTAAAGTTGAAAGAAGTTAGACCTGGAAGTTAGATCCAATAAATATGAGATCAAATCATATATAGCAATAATGTCTAATAAATTTTACTTGCGTTCGATATTCAAAATTTGTAAAGTAGCACAATGTGTCTTCAAATCTTTTTAAAAACATGCAATTTATGCATCAGCTAACATAAATTTACTCTTGATTTTGATTAACTCAACTTTCTAATCAATAATTGCACTTTTGAGAAGATGACATATGATGGCAGTGTTTTTCATCAAACTATCCATCATTTTATTTGTTGAAACATATAATGAATATAGCCTATTGCAATGAAGATTGACGACATTGTTTCTCAATCTTATCTAGGTCATAAGTTTATTCAACCTGATGATATTCTTTGTTGTTTTTCTTGTCATTACATATTCATCTTTTGTAATTGTTCAACTATTAAATTCATTTTTTTATTCAACCTCAAGTAGATGATTTTTAATAATGTATGTGACAATCTAATCAAAGATGATATATAATTATTATGTTAGCAATTATTATGTGTGATAGACAAACAACATATCAGCAATTTGTATGCTTTTTGAATTAAGATTGAGTATGTTAGTTGACAATAGCATATTAAAAATTCATGTGCTTGTTAGATATATCCACCATGTCAATGATACACTAGGATTGAAATTGTTGATGAAGGTCTTACCTTGTATCCTTTTATTTTTGGAAAGATTTTTATAATAAAGAGTAGAACTATTCTACTAAGATTTTATCTTGAAGTTTGTGTTTCATTTTTGAATGAGTTCTTCTTTGAAAGTTTAGTTTTACAATGATTTTAGAATTATTTTAGAAATATTAGAATAGAACTCTCTCTTTAAATGTGAATTATTCTTCATGAAATAGCAAAAAATAATAATAAAGTTCAGTTTTTAAAAATGTACAATATTTGATCAAATTCATTAATATGTATATTTAGAAATTAAAAAATAAAACTTGTGATTTTGCAAATATGAAAATTCTTAATAAAATTCTATTAATGCAATGATCAATCTATTATCAATTATATATTCATCCTTGTTGTATAAAAACATCATTTTTTTTATAGATTGTAATATATTATGATTCAAATGATGAAGTCAAAATTGTTATTGATACTTTCAATCGTTAGATCAGTGGCAGAGCTAAGGGGAGCAAGGAGTGCACGCCTCGAGTCCAAGAAGTATCGCTTACATGAAAACTCTAATCTCGATGCATTTTCAAAAAATAAATAAGAAAGAATGTAATGACTGAAAATGCCTCACGAGCTTTATGATCTGATGTCTTATTGACATTTGTCTTCTTGATTTTTTCAATATTTTATCTATAGCTTTAATTGTTTTGTGATTGGAGCACTTGAGTTTGCATGTATTAATAATGTTCACCTCTCCTACTTGTAAGCCTCAATGTACAGAGTACTTGTTTGTGACCATGCTGGAGCACGGTCTCAATTTGGGATCATTCATTGCGTTCTACTCTTAGAATGATAGGACTTGAAAGGCCTGCATATCTAAGGAGCCATTTCAACCACAATTGTTAGAACACCTTTCTACCAAACATGGTGACAAACTTTGTCATTTTTGCTTTCAATATTTTTCTTTGCATCCTTGGCTTGAATACAGCTCTACAAAGAACGCTTTGTATTGTCTTTTCTACTTTTTTATTTGTGCAAGATTTGCAAACGTCTAGGCAATTTTTCAATCAAAGTATTGCAA